AGCTGCCTTTGGGACGTGGTCTGCTTCCTGTACATAAGGAGAAGCTTTGGGAATGGTCTCTAGCCTATGGCACACTTGGACCCTGCATGTAGCCGTGTCATTGCTCAGCAGCCTGCCATGCTCTGCCGACCTTGGGACTTACAATGGACTTAAGTTAATGGTCTGCCATGTGGTTTGGTAACATTGGGACTGTGCCTTTTTACTTGCCAACCTTGGGCCTTCTCAGCCTCAGCAGCCAGCAGCTGTCTGAGTGAAGAAATGCCTCTAGCTCCAGTGGGCCGGGAGCAGGGGGCAGAGCTGGACCCCAAGGTTGAAGGGCTTTCACCCAGCCCCTAGAGCCTGGCTCTTGAACTTAGACTTAAAGCCTCCAAATTGTAAGAATAAACTCCTGTTTGTTAAGCCATCCCATTTGTGGTATATTCTTGTCAGAGCAGCACGAGGTAACCAGAATAACATATATATATGGATCTCTTCCAGTCAGCTGTCCAGGTAGCTGTCTTTCAAATTTCTTGGCATAGACTAGTGAGTGACCCCAGAGTGGCATACGTTTGTTGAAACATTTCAATGTGTATTTCATCAATTCCTGGAGCCTTGTTCTCTGCCAGTTCCGTCAGTGAAGCTCCGACTTCTTCCTTCAGTACCCCTGGTTCTTGATCATATGCCACCTCCTGAAATGGATGAACATCAACCAATTCTTTTTGGTACGGTGACTCTGTATACTCCTTCCATCTTCTTTTGATGTTTCCTGCATCATCCAATATTTTGCGCATAGAATCCTTCAATATTACAACTCGAGGCTTGAATTTTTTCTTCATCTTTCAGCTTGAGAAATGCGAAGCGTGTTCTTCCCTTTTGTTTATCTAATCCCAGGTCTTTGCACATTTCATATTAATTGACTTTGTCTGCTGGAGCTGCTCTTTGAAATCTTCTGTTCAGCTCTTTCATCTTGTCATTTCTTCCATTTGCTTTAGCTACTGTCTGTTCAAGGGCAAGTTTCAAAGTGTCTTCTGACATCCATTTTGGTCTTTTCTTCCTTCCCTGTCTTTGTAATGACCTTTTGCTTTCTTCATGGATGATGTTCTTGATGCATCACCTAATTCCTCTGGTTTTCGGTTATTGTTGTTCAGTGCATCAAATCTGTTCTTCAGATGGTCTCTAAATTCAGGAGGGATATAATCAAGGTCATATTTTGGCTCCTGTGGACTTGTTTTAATTGTCTTCAGGTTCAACTTGAACTTGCA